TCCATTAATTGATCCACTCCCATTTTAAGCCTTCCATATTGATGGCCATCACTACATCTTGTGGAAATGGAGTCTAGAGTTTAAATATGCACTGTGTGAAGAACGTCCTTTGATGTATCCTGTAACTCTCTCACCAGTCAGCTTCATGCGATGAATGTTTATATGCTAAGTCTCACCTCAGGCTTCTTTTGGCTCAGGGTCTGGTGTCCACCTGGGCTTGCTTCAGCTGTTATCTGGCAGAGTCCACTAACAAGCCCTTGATCATTTTAGTTGCTCTTTTCTGCATATTTTCCAAACCTACAATAATCTTTTTTGGTACAGTGACCAGAACTATGCATAGTATTCTAAGTGTGGTTGCACCAAAGATTTGTATCAGGGAAGTATGAGCTTGGCAGTTTTATTTTAAATTTCTAATTATACTTATAACATAGAGCCTGCCTTTTTCACAGCAGCCACAGGGTGAGTCAACATTTTAATCAAGCTGTTCACCACAACCCCAAGATTTTTTCTTGGTCAACCACCACTAGCTCAGATCCCATCAGCTTAGACCTTTGGACCATTTTTTGCAATCTTCCACGTAAATATATATTAAATGTGATGGCACTGTGGCCACCATTTCCAATGGGTTCAATAGCATTTACATATTCTACTAGATTCTGGGTTTAGGATTAAATTCAGGGCTGTCTCAAGTCAGTTCCATGACCAAGTGTTCTAAGGCACAGCTTCATAAGACCCTGAGAAATTTAACTTCTTTGTCATGATTGGATCATCCATTTATGCAGTCAATGTAAATTAAAGTTGCCTCTATTGAAACACTTTTTAATTGGAAGGCATCCCAGATTCTGTTTTCTCTCTCAAGACCACCCTGAGTATTCTGGTTTGGAGGAGGATAGTGTGTTCTGAATACTAGTTTTGGAGTCAGATATTGTCACCCACAGTGCTTCTGTAGAAGAATGTGCCCCCTTTACATTTTCTGGTCTGCTGGACAGTCTTTTTTGATGTACAGAGCAACACCCCACTATGCCCTTCCTAGTCTTTGCTATACAGTTTTTATCCAGAGAGGCAATATTCCACTGGTCCTCTCCATTCTACCACGTTTCTGTAAAGTGCCCTGAAGGAGAATCTATATAACTGTTTAGTCCCCAAAGGCCTTGTCCACCAACTTCTCTACTTCGCTTAGTTCCTTTAGATTGGCTCCAAAGGAACAAATGGATATTCTGGAGCCAGGAGCTTATTGCACCAAGCGCACACCCATGTCTTCTGCCCAGCTGGCGGATAGTCACACATGTGGCACTCGGTAGCCCCCGTAGCCCTGCTGGCTTTCTTGTTCCTTAACTAGGCTATGCTGTTGTTTTTAATTGGAATTTCTGGGTTAACTATGTGGAGAACTAACGTTTTTGCTCGTTATTTATTAGGAGGAGTGAGGAATATGTTTATAGTTATTATTTTACGGTTTATAGTTACTTACTACAGGAATGGACGGAAGAGTTCTCTGTGCTGGTCTCTTGCTTCCATTGCCGAATTCACACAATTCCTTAGCTTGTTTGAGTGCTGCAACTTTGTCCCTGGGGCTGCTTGAGCCCAGAGGCCCAGCTCCCTCACAAGCCTGGTTGTTTGCAGAGACCTAGGTAGGTTGACCCAGCTGCTGCTGCAACCAATCTATGAACACTTCATTTAAAAAATACATTTTGGATATGCCCAATGGCATCTTCCTTTTGGGAGGAGGTAATAATTCAGATAAATCTAGTTCTGGAAGGTTCTTTAATATTTAAGGATACTAGCATGCTTTTGAATTAGCTACCCATCTCTTGGAATTTAATGCAAGGTCAATGTAAATGGATTTTCTCTGCCCTTTTGACAGCTAAAAGTCAAACATTATAACATCGGAAAGATAAATGGCATGTGTGATAACACAATGGGTGGAGAATTTAATGAAACTTTTAATTTTTGAAAAGATGGCTTTCAGGCATAATCTACTAATGGATAAATATATGAATATGTGGGGTGCCTTTGTTGATCCCAATGCATTATTTTATCAACAATAATATGTTCTGTTATATACTAATACATAAGTATATACAATATAACTAGTGTTATGGATCTTTTAAAATTTTATTCAAAAAGCATAATATTTTAGCTTATTTTTGCCTTTTTCCTCCTCTAAAACCAGAATTTGGTTTTGTTTCTGTATTACATATTAAAAATAAATTCAAGAATGCCAAATCAGGCCAAGACCAGCTCTTTGTGCATTAATGTCAAAGGCTTAGGAACCAATTTACCCATATAACAGTTGATATCTTAAACCCCTAGCATTCTTCATCAGGCAAAATGTTTCAAAAGGCAGGTTATGGGGAGGAAGAAACATACCTCAAGAGCTTATTGATGTGTGAGCTGCTTCCTTAAAAAATATCTGATTTGATATTCAATCATATGGGGTATTCTTAAACAAAACTTGAGAATCTGGCTTCAGGCAAAGCATATGTGGACCAAAAAGAATAGGGAAGTACTTATGATGTAACACATGCCATCTCCTGGCTTTTGAGGAGAATGCAGATCAGACTAAGAACATAAAAAAGAGATTTAGAGTGTGATCCTATGGATGGTGTCCTTGTTGGACAAGAACCTGCCATTCTGGAGGGTTCCTAGTATCCACTGCCCTGCTATTAGTGAGAGGATCGGAGGAGGCAATATTCACCCCTCTGTCCTCCTGTTTAGTTATTCCTGTAGTTGAGCCTTTGTAAATAGGGAGAGTAGTAGCTGCACCAGGGTTGAAGAGACCCTTGGATTTCTTTTTCTACAAGCATGCAGAAGTTAAAACCAATCTTAGATGAATTGCCACAGATGTAGTACGTTAAAGTGCTGAAAACTGACACACTTCTACTTTTTATTCAAGCTGCAGCTCAACATATTTAAATTCTGGGAAAAACTACTAATGTACTTTATTTAGACTTGTTAAGGCTTTGGTTTGATATTATTCTGAAAAGCTATATAAAATTATCAAAGTTTTTCTGCCCCATATAAGCCTATGGCAACAGTTGCTGGCAAAGTTATGTCAGGCATGCTCAGTTCAACTCTGAAGCTAGAATGCTGTCATTATCCCAGGGTCTTGAATTCCACTGCTCCTGTCAGCATTCTGATAGCAAAGAAGAGGTAGGTAGCAGGGAACGGTCAACTGGGATAAGAGTAACGTCATTTTGAAGACTGAGAGAATCACTCTTAGGAATGAAAAGGGAAAGGGCTATGTTGGAATGCTTGCAGACTTACGAGTACTCTTCTCTTCTGAACATACCAGAACACTGTACACATTTGCTTATGTGGGCTTTGTTTTGGAACACAAGAATATATTTCCCTTTTTAAAAAATAGGGGAGTTCACTTAATATCACAAATTAATTTGTCATTAATAGCTGTATTCAAACCTTCTCAATACCAATCACTCAATTGATAATCATGTTTTACTTTCCAATTCTTTGCTATAATTAATCTCATAGCTGTTAAGTTTGCTATTAAAACCAACTGCCTGGAGAGGTGGTGGGCTCTCCCACACTAGAGACATTCAAAAATAAACTGGAGAGCCATCTGAGTGGGATGGTGTAACTTGGTGTCCTGCAACAGCAGGGGGTTGGACCCAATGGCCTTCATGGCTCCTTCCAACTCTACTATTCTATTCTATGATTCTATGATAAAAGGTTATATTAAAAACAATAATTTTGATGTTAAAGGTAAAAGGTAAAGGTTTCCCCTTGAGATTAAGTCCAGTCATGCCTGACTCTAGGGGGCGGTACCCATCTCCGTTTCCTAGCCGAGGGAGCCAGTGTTTGTCCGCAGACAGTCTCCACGGTCATGTTGCCGGCATGACTAAACACCGAAGTGCATGAAACGCTGTTACCTGCCCACCAAAGTGGTACCTTTTTATCTACTTGCATTTGCATGCTTTCGAACTGCAAGGTTGGCAGGAGCTGGCACAGAGCAATGGGAACTCAACCCGTTGTTCAAATTCGAACTGGCGACCTTTTGATCAACCAGCCCAGCAGCACAGTGGTTTAAACCACTGCGCCACCTGCAATCCTAATTTTTTAGTGCTCATTTATTACGTGTTTAAAAAAGGGAAAGGCTTTGAACCTTCACAGGAGTCATTGCAGTTTTGGAAAAGGGATGGAGCATTTTAAAAGAACTTTTAAGATGTATCCAAAGGTTCTGGTGGCAAAATTACCAGTGTTTTTATGTTTCATTTAATTGTATGTTTAATGTTGTTTTATTTTCACTGTAGGTTTTTCTTGTAATTGTATTTTTTTCAGTTTTAATTAATTTGAAAAATTAAAAAACAGGGAAAATTCAATGATCAAAAACCCTGGCAGTTTTAAGGTTATCTCACACTGGGTCAAGCTCCACAAAGCCCCAAGTTCAGAAATGATATTGTGCAACATCAGAAACTGTGCTTGCTTACAAGCAACAGGCCCATGTTGACTCAGAAGGATCCTCTAGCATCATAAAGTAAGGCCAGGACAACATGGCATCTTTGCTGGACCCAAGCACTCACACCTCCCAGTCTAGGCCTGAAAGACCAAGGAAAAGTATGGGTGAATGGATGGTAAGTTTCAAGGAAGTGCAATTTGTGTCTTTGCACAACACTTTCTACTAATCACTAGACACAATTGTTAAAGCATCAGCCTAAGCTTCCAATTTCCTGGCTTGAGGCAACATGTAATATCCTTAATTATGGTCTTAAACTGGGAGGTTTTCTTTCATCATTGATTTAGTTTGTGTTTCTTGCCTCACAAATGGTGGTTTGTCTTCAACAGAGGAGTCAGGATTGATGGGGTCTCTATTTTTAGCCCCCCAGTTTGGTTCAAGAGATGTAAATCAGATTACAAACAAGATACTGGCAGACCATCAGGTATACATATTTCAGAACAGTAAGGATCAGTTAGTTTATCGGAAAGCTAAAGAAGACTGCACATCTCTGTAAAAGGACACAAAAGATAACACAGACACAGCAAGCTGGGTTTTGAAGCACCATTTTTACTGTAGAACGGCAGAGCTGAATCGATCATCTGCTACAGTTTCAAAAACAAGGAAAGAAAAGTTTCACTTCATCAAAAATAAAGACAAGGTTGGTTTTCTTCCCTTTCCTCCTTGGTGAAAACATAATACTCAAAATTACCTTGTATTACACAAGGATGTCCCAAAATATACAAACACTGAAACTGGGAACTGTGGGCTGCAAATGTAACATCAAAACAGAGAGCATCAGAAAGATCCGGCATGAATAAACTGAATGAGAGAAATCCATTCGAATGAGGCAGCCAAATGCTGGGCCAAACCCATTAATACCAAATTTAAGTTGGCAAAGCCCACTCCTTTCACACAGTACCCAACAGCTGCTCTTCAAAGTCAGGCTGTCAGGAGTATCGTATCAGAAGTAAGCAAGAGTCAGCAAAAAATAAAATGTTTACATGTTTACAAGGTTTACACAGTACATTGTATAAATGACGAGCGGCTGCAAGTTCAGAGTGGAAGAGGAGATCCTTGGCAAAAGGCAGCTTCCATGGAAGGAGACCAGGTTTGTGCTTGACAACATACAGAGTTCAGAGATACCTTGTGGCAGCCCTGTGGAGTCTGGCTGGTATCTAGCTTCTCTGTACATAACTAACATTAGGAAAGACAGCATAAAAAAACACAAAGGGAGAGTGGTGGTGTTCTAGAGGAACTAATACCACCTTTGTGGGTCCCTGCACACACACACACAATTCAAAGTGCTTTGCATATGGAGGTTGGCAGAGAAAGACAGCCAAGACACTGCGGTTCTTAAACGACTAGTAGTTAACAACTTCTTGCCTGGCTGCACTGCCACAGGGACCCTTTTCCAGGCACTGGTGTAGCAGCAATACCCTGTCCAGAGTGAGAGCAACAAAAACAGGTGAGGAGTGACAACTCAAAGCAATCAATTCACCAACTCTATGGCATGTGCATGAGCCAATCAACAACTACCTAAGGGCACATCCACCTGGTTCTGAAGCAGAACAGTTTGAACACTCTTGCTCTCTATAGTGTAGTCATGCAGAAGTGTTTCGGTTTAGGTCATATGGCTGAAAAGGTGAGTTCTGTGGTCAAAATGGGCATGCTTTGGGTTGCTCCCCACATTCCTCATTTATGCAGTACAACACCAACGGGATGTTCCACCAGGAGCAGCCTCAGGCAGACATAATCCATGTGCTAGAATCTATTCATTTAGACATAAAGAAATGTAGGAAGGGGCCTAGTTTGTGGACCATGCCCAAACCTCGCTTTGACTCTGCAGTGAGAGGGAAGTGCACAACCCGTGTCACTGATAAGTACGCACCTCCACCCAAAATGGAGGGGAATTTTCAGAATGGCAGCTGCTCTGCAAAGCAGCACTGTGGTGTGTCACAACACATTAAGCACAGAGGATTGACCAGTCATATGCACCAAGTATCCTGTGATAAGTAGGCCTGCTTCATACTTTCCCATTCCCACACCTGCCCAGGAGTCAGAAGCAGCATTGCTTCACATTTATCATACCCAGAACCTCCACATTTCCAGTAATAGGACATAAACAAAGCTCTAAGCCAGGGATGGGCAGCTTCAGGGGACCCATCAGCCAAAATTGCTCCTGAACTTTGAGATCAATTTGACAGTGGCACCCCCTTCCCTGGTACTTTTGTGGAGCTATGGAACTGCAAGTAACATTAAACAAATGCTGCTCATGCAGCCCAGTGTTATGCTTTACACCAACCTAAGGCCTATTAGGCAAAATTGCCTCTTTCCAAAGACATTCAGCTCCATGCAAAAGGGAGTCCAATTATCATCTCCAAAACAACAAGAACTCTTTCAGCTCAAAGCACCAAGTATTTCAACACTCAGTCCCCCAGTGACACAAGAAACCTTCCCAAGTGAACCTTCATTTGCTCAGTTTGACAAAAAGGAGTGATTTAATGGAACCTCCAAGGGCTGTACAGGCAGCTGCCCAGGGTTCAAAAATCATTTCTCAACACAATTCACATACCAAGCAGCAGCCATATTCAAACAGCCATGATCAGATGACCACTTAGTAATCAAAGATGTGCTCCCCAATTACTGTCAAGTTAGGGAACAATATGAACACATCAAGTGCCTTGTATTTTTCTAGATCACTGATCTATCTAACTGGGTATTGTCTGCTCTGGCAGTGGCTCTCCAAGGTCTCAGAGGGATATTTATGTATTTTTTTCCAGGCCTATTAACCAAGATCATATTATAACTGGAATGCAGAGGTCTGAGGTACAATTCTTGTCAACCACTTAAACAAGCTGAAGTGTCCTGAAAGTTCTTGTCCCAAGCACCTAGAGAACCAATGCCAGCTATAATCTGGTACACGTTACACAGTTTCCTGTGTACAAAAAAGTATGCTACATAAAGTGTGCTACACAGCCACCTCCAAGCACTCTTAGAAACTGAGCAGAAGATGTCGCATGCATATATCAGGTGTTGCCCTCTTATCCCATGTTTAAAGTAAGTAGCACTTTTCTTGAAGGGGGCCTATAGCAATGAGTAGTCTAGGTGCTCACTCTTTGCTGACTTTCCAGAGTCACGAGTCATTGGATTCTGAAGAAGACACAGAGGTGGTGGTAATGAGGTGGGCAAAACAGGAGCCTTCGAAGCTCCATCAAAGTCACTGCCCATATTTTCCCAGGCTGACCATGAGAGCAGCCCTGTTTCGGAAAAGAGGGGAGGGGTTTCAGGAGAGGCGGGAGCCTAGCTGCCTTATCTCGTCCCTGACCCTGTGAGTAGGTGTTGGGAGAGGCAAGCTACCCAGTTAGAGGGCTTGTGTATGTCACAAAGGCTGGCCTTCCACTAATGGAGGCCAATCTGAGGGCGGAGTTGCAACATGATTCTAGCGGAGGGACTGGAAAGATGGGGCTTCAATGGTGTTTACATGAGCAGAGGCTAATCCTTCAGTTGACTAAACAACCAGAGTCATGTCTTTTTGACTGTGAAGTATCAACACAGATCCACGTTGCAGAGGATTGTCCGGTGTTTTGGAGGCTGAGGGCAAGGAGGGAAGAATTGAGCTCATACTTATAAACACTTGGCATCAGCATTACCACAGAACACACGCTCATTTTTAAATTCTTTTAGACAGTGAGCATCATTTTAAATTCTTGAGAAATAAATTAAGCAAGGACCTGTCCTAAAACCAAGCAGCTAAGCCATGTAGCCTGCTCCACAGTTCAGCTGAAAGGCATTAGAGTCTTCAGCGATTCCTCCAGTACAAGAGAACACATCTCTTTCTTTCTGCTAACATTACGGTTAACTATGTGGGTTTTTCAAGCATTGATCAGGGAGAGGTAATATTACAGACTAAATAGATGTGGCAATTGTAAAGGCACAAAAGCTGTCTAGACTGCTACTTACACTTTTCTTTAGTCTTAGATGCTGTGATGCCAGTCTTCTGAGACCAGAATATCTCATCACAACAGAGTCAAAAGATACTTCCTAAAAAAACCACATTATCTTGATCCTGTAGTTTTCCAAGCCCTAAACAAAATTAAAGCTTTTATTCCATGCTATTCAGTAGTAGCTAATTCCACCTTGAGGGGGGCAAGGGGTAGAGAAAAGAGGCCAAGCTTCAATCTAGACCAAAACAAAGTTTATCAATTCATGCAAATTGCTAGATGCATTTCCATTAACACACACACAGGTTGACAGTTTAGACTTGAATCTTGTGCTTTTTTTTCTTATGCACTTGCTGGTGGCATTCCTCTTTTCTTTTTGATGGCCATAACTCTTACAGAAGGACTGGATATATAAAGCACCCATCCAGCCACACTCATTCGTATCTGGTATTCAGTCAAGACTAATCTCCTTCTACTGACTAAAATATTGCATTATTGAGCCTTACTTAATTGCAATAAAACTGCCACCTACTTTTCTCTATTGATCAAGATATCCATTAGATCAGTCAGCCAGTGATGATCCCAAGCTAATAACAAGTGAGCAATTTAAAAATCCCATCACTATCAAAGTGCTTGCTGGAAAAGAAGGAAAAACCTGTTCTATAGATAATGCTACCTGGGATGACATAAGAGTCTGTGCTGGTCACATCATTACATGGCTTACAGAGCAGGAAAAAGAAACTTCCTTCAAGTCAACCAAGGGCCAGAGGTGGGATTGCTTTGAACAATGTCATTCATTCTCAACAGTTGCCACCCAATGGACAAAACCTGTGGCTACTACAGACCTTGGATGCCTTTCATAGTTGTGCAGTGATGATTTTTTGAGATATGTGGCTTCTCCCATCCAGTATCAGTAAGGAGCCCAGCCACCTGGTCAAATTTTTCTCAGAGACAGAAGTCCTAAGCCCAACCTCTTTTTCATCTCCTCTGCCTTTAAAAGCCCAAAGGCAGACAAGAGATTCAGAACATGTGCTTCCTTGCTCACTTAGGGCCAGTAGGTCTATGCCAATGCAGTTCAATCAGGTTTGCATTTAATGTGGCTACTTGAATGCTAAACAAACAGTTGGTACCATACTGATGTGAAGGAAAGCATTACACCCCTGCTGTTGTCATCCTGCAACCCTAATGGGAACCTGGCATGTTACTCTGATTCCTAGAGCTCTATGAATGAAGCATCAACCAGAGAAATGCACAAACTGCTTCCTAATGTGAAGCTTTTTAACATACACAACCACTTCTCAAGAACAGGCACTGCCAACATTGCTACAAGGTCAGCTTCTTTCTCAAGGCCAAATTTCTCCTCTGAATAGATTATTCATTAAGAGAAAGAGTTCAATCTACAGCTGAACCGTACTTTCACTTTAGGAGTCTCCCGAGCTCCTTATCATCAAAATCTCCTCTGCATTCCTCCAGTGTTTTAACAGGTTTTCTCATTCTATCACCTTATTTCTTCTGTGAACACACAGTTAATCGCAGATAGCTCTTTCTTCCAAGGAAGGCAACATTAAAGAGTCTCCCTGAAGGAACAGGGAAAAACCATTGGTTAGAAATGTAGCTCTAATACTTGGAATCCTTACTGGCTCCTCTTGGTTAGAGAAACCATTGGAACTTCTGGCACTTTCCATTTCACTACCTGCTGGGTATACAACTAGGCGGCAACAAGTTGGACAGTGCTTGACTTAAAAAGGCATCCTTGTGTCTCCTAAGTAGTTGCTGAGATATGTCTGTAGGGGTAGTTTTTTTCCATCTGTTATGCAAAGCAGTATCCTTTGCTAGTCATTAAAGACACCAGTGCATGCTTTGGATAGCCAAAGGGAGGTGTGGGGGGAAGAATCAAAAGGAAAGACAACTTTATGGAGGCTCCAACTAATGCGTCTCCCTCTTTAAAAAAATGATGCCAGCTAAGAGGCTGGGCCACAAACATACTCACATAGTTACACAAAGGCATACATATACACTCATGCAAAGATACAAACATATTCCATTTTTCCTCACTGGTGGGGCAAAAGCAATCTTAGTGAAGCACTCTGAGGGAGGGAGGACAGTAGAAAATCTGGTAGCATTGGTCAAGGCATCTGTGGGGGGGATGCAGTAAAGGCCTGGGGGGGGGGTACACATGGTTCCTGGGGCACTCTAGAAGCATCTTGTGTAGTGCAGCTATTCGTATCCCAGAAAATACTCAAGACAAAAGAGGTGGCAATGAGGTGACTACCAGAATGCAGAAAACTTTCTGAAAGCAGACTGACTGCACTATGCCAAGGTACTAGAAACTCGGTATTCCCAGCCTTGCCACTCTAAACACAAGCTGAGAGGAGAAACTCAAATCCAGACACCCTTAGAAGGATGCTTTGCAGCTAATCAGGTGACTCACCATGATGCAAGCAAAGATTGTCCCAGCATTGGCTCAGTTAGAGAGAGATTTCCAAAATTGTAGTGTGTGCAGAGCTGCCAAGTCAGAGCGTCTGCTATTGGCTGAGGGAGCTCCCCCCTTCCTTTTTATGCTCAAGACAGAACTGTGCAAGATGGCCAGATACCCTCAATCAGGCACAAGGGAGTTTCACCAAGCCAGGTAATGGATTGATCAAACTAAGAGTTTTCCTTGCCAGAACTGTTTTAGAGTGTGGGAACTGTATTAGGAAAAAAGTTCTACGTTTCATATGAAACCAGTAATGCTTACCACATAAAGCCAGAATGGTAGACTCTTGAAAACTAGTATGACAACATGAGATTGGAGACTTAGCTTGTTCTTTGAAAGGCTCAATGTAGAAGTGAGAGACTGATTTCTTGTATATGCCCCACATTAAATGTTCCCTGCATGCAGCAAACTAGCTCTTTAGGTAGATTTTCAACATAGTTAACTGCCTAATGTACTAGTGTAGTATGCACACAAAGTTGTTTATGTAATGGAACATTCAAACATATGACCACAATCTGCAAGCTAAAATGGTACAGCCTAGAATTCTATCTTAGTCTATCACTTCAGTTTTAATAAGTTGTAAAAAGGCTGTTTGTTTTGGCCACCCTGAATAATAAAGACCAAATACTTCGAAGCAGAGAAGAGATTTACAACTTATTTAAAGATCAGTGTCCTCCCAACAAACTTGAGCTCCATAATAAAGAAACAGAAGTCTTAACAAGCCACATGTGTCAACAGCATGTCTAAACTAACAATCTAAACCAGTTTACTAAGACTTTTGCCCAAGGAACTCTTGGAACTGCAATTTTACAGGAATACAGGATCTCTAGTACAAAGTTCTGAATACCTCCATGAAACTATTATTGCCATTGCTCTTTGGGGATGTCATGATGGTAAAACAAATTTAGATTTGCAGATGTGGCACAAAGCAGAAGTAAAATTATGCTGCCAAAATACTGAAGGTGCTGGCAGGAATATATTTAGGAATCTTCAGAGTGGTTTGTAGGCTAGAAGCCTCTACTAGGATCATTTTACTTTGTTTGCAACACAGGACAAGACTCACTCTCAGCCAGCTCCACAACAAACCCAAGAAACTCTTGCTGCTGCAACAGGAATCCCAGACTGTTCAGACACATCTGATACATTCAGAAGCCTAATGTCTGCAGGCCAGACATACTGACATGTCAGTCAGCAGAAATGATTAACAATTGCACTAGAAAGCATTATCTGCCCGTTCTTAGGCTCACAAGCAGCCACAGGTCCTTAAAAAAATCAACAGAGAGAAATAATGTGTTAGCTCCACTGGGTTTAATAACAGTTACCGGTGGAGGTAAACACAGAGAAGAACAAAGGACACTGACTGGTAGCTAGAATCTCCATGTGAACTGTGCAACTCTTCAACAAGGCTGTCCACAGCCATATGTGCCTCCTGCCCTCTACGGCACAAATGTGGCAGAAATCTGTGGGGCACCCTTCTTCACTTGCATGAGGCCCACTGAGGGCTTGGTCTGTCCTCCTTCACTGCCTTCTCAAAGAGACCTGCACAGACTCCGTATCTGGGGCAACCATCCTTCTTCCCCAGTCATAACCTCATAGGTGGCTAGGGCTAAAAAGCATGGTCACTGGATAAGTGAAGATACCAGAGAAGGGATGTATTTACTCCAGCTGGCATACAGCTTTCAGCCCTAGACAGCCATGAGGCAGCAGCAGTGAAGAGAAGCCAGTGACCAACAGAATGGGAACTAACCACTTAGGTTTACAGAGCAGGGAGGCAACACTGGAGATAAGCAAAGGCTTTTGCATTTTTCAACAAATGACTGAAAAAAGTTGAGAGAAAAGCTTTTGAACCCACTTCTTGAGAAAAGGACAAAAAGGAAAGGGGATCACATTCTGACAGCCCTTGGGCAATGCATGTACATAAGTCTATAGATATTTATATTTAATAAGTATATAAAATATGATCAAAATAAAACCAAGTAGATTTACAGATTGAAAATGAAAATAAGAATCACAGTACAGCAAGATCCCAAGTGCCGCCACATCCCAGACACACACTCTGCCATGTTTACAAAAGCACTGTAGAAAAGTGTCCCAGAGGAAAGCCAGTGCTCTGCTCTGTATTCCGCTCAATGGGGCCTTGGAGATCTCCTCCAATATTTCTAAACATGGTTTTATAATCCAGCAGTTGCCCAGCTCTGCAGAACTTTCTCCAGCTGCTAGCTATGGCTTGAGGACCAGCTGCTTGAGGACTGCAGACATACACATCCTCATCAAGCCCAAGAGACCTAAAGTTGGTCTGAGGTGAATATCCTTGTACGGTGGCCTGTGGCTCCAATTTAACTAGGCAACTTCAAGGGGCGCTGTGAGAGTGTGGCAGTGGCTGAATTCGGATAACAGGGGACAGATTAACTCTAAGGATCTTCTGTGCCCTCCTTCTCAATTCATCATCGGAAGAGCTGTTCACCTTGATGGCTCGGAATTTCAGCAGGTTCAGGGTCTTCGAAGCCAGCTCCCGTTTACGGGGAGATGAAACAGAATTGTGTTCCTTTCTGCATGGCAATTCCTTTTCCTCCTCCATTCTTTTTCTTTTCTGCCCAATAGTCTCCTGGTGGCTACCACTACCTCTACGTTCTGCTTTAGCCACTGATGGCTCCTTAGTTCTGGAACCTCCTGTGCTGCAGCTCTGGGAGGTGCTTCCAGAAATTCTGCCATTCAGGATTCCAGATGCTTTGCAGGCATTGCTTTCCTGCAGCACCCCACCCTTTGGTCCTTTTATAAGGCTCATAGTCAGAGCAGCAGAGTCTGGCACTTTCTGTATTATATGCCTATATGCTTTGGGGTCCAACTGACTGGGCAACATTTTAGTGGCTTTGACTGCAGAAGACTGTCTGGATGCACTAGCTGCCTTGAGGAGCTTAAGGTCTGAGGGAGAGATCCCAAGATGCCCTTCTTCGCATTTGGATTCCAGACAGGATGCTGTGGCTTTCAGTGGCACTAAGGCTTCCAGAACCACAGACAACCTCATGGCTGGGTAAACACCAGGATACATATTAGCAGGGAAGCCCACTGCTGAGGCTTTTGATGTACCTGAACGTGTCCGTTTCAGTGAGTTCAATAGGAGGTTTGTGGAATTACTGCTTTTGGACAACGGTTTAGCAGAGTCATTGGAAGAACTCACTGTAAAGCCTGCTAAGGGGGCAGATACTTCTGCCATTGTTGCTACGCTTCGAGCTGGAGCCTTAGCAGATTCTGAAATAGGAACAGCTGTTTTTGAAGTGTCCTGGGTACTGCCTTTTTTCTGGCTGGGCATATTGGCTGTGCATGAGCTGTATCCATACACGTCTTTACTTCTTAGGATTGTGGGCTGGTAGCCTTCTTCCCTGAGGCCTTGAAGAAAAGCTACCAGCTGGGTCTCTGTGTCGGACAGGTCCTTTGACATAGGGTTGAACACTCTGAGAGCTTCTTCCAAGGCTTTCTGTCCTGCGGAGGAGATCCTTGACCAGGAATGGACAGCTTTTTCTTCCACATTGTCCGCCTCAACATTCATGGCATTAGGCTAGTGAAAGCTTCTAATGGGTCCAAGTCAACTTGGAAGCCAATGCACGTCACCTCAAAGGAAAAGGGAGAAAAGGTAGTTAATTTACAACCATCTACAATTTGTTTTAGCAAAAAGTGTTAAGGCCTCAAGACACTTTTACACCTATCTAGTTTGACCTTTGCTTATGATCACTCTAATGGTTCTGCCTTTGAAGGAAGTCTAGAAACTGCAGCTTTTGCAAACATGTCCAAAAAGAGTTTTAACAGGGACCAGGTATTTTGAATTTAGCAAACATATGAACATAACTTATGAACATAAGGTTCTTTCTCACCTGCACTGACTTCCAATTAGTTTCTATGCCCAATTCAAAGTGCTGATTTTGAGCTAAAAAGCTTAATCTGCTTCTGAGCTTGGTATCTAACAGAACACCTCCACCCTTATGCAGCTATAGATGACTTTGAGGCCATCTTTGAAAGTCCTGAATAAATCCTCAATCTGAGTTTGGAGAATGGGTATGAGAGAGAAGGCTTTCTCCACTGTGGCTTCCTGCATACGGGATCCTTTTTGTAGGAAGCTGAGCTGCACCTACACTGCTGTCTTTTTGGTACTTGGATCAGACATTTTTATTCTCCTACAGTTGGTGAATTTGGTGTTTGTACTTACTGGTTTTAGCTTCTTCAATTTGCATTATATTCTGTTGTGCTGGAGTCTTTGTGTCTGTATTTTAAAATTGGGTTGGATTTGTAAGATTTATTGGTGGATTTTAAAATATTATAGCTCTGCTTCTAATGAATTTTGTACAATGCCTATGGAATGTCTTTTACAGGGACCTAACAAATATAAAAGACACAAAACAAGCCTAGGAATTACAGCTGGTCACCCACTGCAGCAAGCATTGACTGAATTTCAAGAAAACCCTAAATAAGGAATGCACATCATCTAGCAAATTTCCTCTCCTTCCCTAATGGCAATCTTCTTGGGCATATTTTGTTCACAAGTATTGGTGTTTTGGGTGTGCACTCTGTGTTTTGCTCCCAGGGTTATGGCTGCAGCATCGTATTATTGTTGTTTCTCAATAAGGTGAAAATAATGATGAAATTGTTACAGATTTAGGGATGAGTGGCTGTTTCAAACTCATGATGAATCAAATTTATCTTCAAAATGTACATAGGAAATGGTTCATGAGACATTTCAGGTAGACTTTGGACTGGGGTTAACTATTTGACACTATTTGTGTGTAGTCTTAATATTATTTGATTATTCTTAACCAAGAATGCCTTCATGAAGATCTTGACGTGGCAGCTAGGCTGAAACACACACAAATTATAGTGTAAATACAAGAGGATCTTTCATGAACAACTTATTCCCAATGATCTTTTTCTTTTTAGAGAGAGGACAGCAAGCTAATAAAATGGAGGAACCTGAATTAGGTAGATCAACACAATCCCACAGAACTGAAGGTAAGTTTCTAAAAGGAAACTAGGTATGCAAAAAGATCTGTTGAACACTTGAAAAGCCTAATTAGCAAGATATGTTTAACAGCTACAAAGTATAAACCTGAGTTAGGTCTCCCCTCACAAAAGATACTGATATACAGACAATTTGTGCCAATCTTTAATTGAGCCAGAACAAATTCCTTTCATTCTTAAATGACATATTTGACCACAATTGAAGTTTAGAGGATTAATTAAACATCACATTGTGGCTAATCTTAACTATGGTTAGTGGAGACAAGCCAACTTTATAAAATATGTTTTGAAGCTTATCATACTTAAAATTAACCATAATCCTTTATGGTTGGTCAACATGGCAGATTGATAACCCTAAAACAGTAGTTAATGCTTCCAAGCAGTCATGCCAGAGAACACAAGAGGAGCACAAGATCTTGTAACACTAAATACAGGTTTAGCAGTACAGTTACATTCAGATGAAGTAACCCATTATCACTAACATATATTTTCACAACATTCTAAGTTAGAAAAAAATTAAAATATTGATTACCACCATTTAGAAACAAATGTTTCATGGGTTTTTTTATCAGTGTAGTGCCTCTCTGTGTTATAATTCTATCAAATAAATGCTTTCAAGATTTTTATCATAATTTAACTAGGGTTATCTTTTACTTATCAAATGGCCACTCATAGCCCAGGAAGGTTGGTCACATATTGGACCCCAAGCCCTGCAACTGTCCCTTTAATATTCCAATGACCTCTCTACTGGATCCTTGCCCCTGCTGGTTTATAAAAGCTAGCAAGAAAGAAATAATTGGCTGGATTAGGGAGGTCATTAATTCCTCATTGCACGAGGGAGTTGTCCCATGCTACCTTAAAGAGGCAGTAGTGAGACCACTTCTCAAGAAATCCCCCCATGTACCAGAAGACCTGAACAACTTTGGGCAATTAACAAATATTCCTTTCCTGTGCAAGGTTCTTGAGGGAGTGGTTGCCAATCAATTCTAGACACTCTTGAATTAGACTGATTATCTGGATCCATTTCAATCAGGGTCACCCTCTATGTTGACCAATGCTAGGAGTGAGATGGGGAGTGCAACCCGGTGATACTGTTGAATCTCCTGGCAGCTTTCAATACCATTGATCATAATATTCTTCTGGGGTAACTGCTAGGAATGGTAGGGCACTGCATTGGTGTGGTTCTGCTCCTATTTGTCACCAGAAAGTGGTGCTTGGAAAATATTTTTCAGCCCCATGGATTCTCCAGCAAAGGAGTTCCTCAGGGGTCTGTTCTGACCCCCATGTGATCCAACATCTACATGAATCTGCTGAGTGGGGTCATCCAGATTTTTGGAGTGTGTTGCCATCACTATGCTGATGGCAGGCAGCTCTATCTCTTTTTCATTATCAGCAAGTGAAGTTGTGGATGTGATAAACTTGTGTCTTGCAACAACAATGGACTGCATGAGGGCTAACAAACTGAAACTCAATCCAGACAAGACTGATGTGGGTAGTTCCTCCGGCCAGGTTGGTGGTGGTGGTGGTGATGGGGGTGTGCAAACTGGTCTAGGTGGGATTACATTCCTCCTGAAGGAGCAGGTTTGTAGCCTGGGGACATTCATTGATCCATATTTGCCACCTGAGACGCAGATGGCACGGGTGGCCTGAAGTGCCTTCTACCAGCTGCACCACTACCTGGACAGGGATAACCTGGCTTCAGTAATTTACACTCTGACAATCTCTAAATTAGATTACTGCACTGCACTCTGTGTGGGGCTGCCCTTGAAGATAGTTCAGAAGCTGAAGTTGGTACAGAACATAGCAGCCAGATTAACAACCAGGATCTATAGGTCCAAATATAGGTTCATTTGTATTTGCTGCCTGTATGCTTAACATCTGGGGCTTTCCTCAAAGTGCCAACTCTAAAGGAAGTGTAGAGGGTGAGAAGTAAGAGGAGGACTTTCTCAGCAGTTGTCCCCCATCTTATGGAAAAAGCTCCCTTCTGCGAATCTGTCATCTTTTCAGTGTCAGATTAAGGAGGCCCTCTTTTCTGAGGGTTTTAAAGACTTACTTGCTACCCAGGGACTTGAGGGGGGTCACCAGGTATTTGCAGAATCTCTCTTCTTGTCATGTTTTACCATGTTTTTAGTTGTTTTAAACTTTTTAATGTTTTGTTCTGATTTTTATGAAATTTTAATTATATTTTCTTAATTTGTTTTTAAGGATTGTGTAAAGTGCCCAGAGAGTTTCAGTTGCGCAGCAGTATAGAAAAGAAATAAACAACAACCACAACAACGTGTTTTAACTTGTTTAATGAGATCTTAGTGTTTTCCAAACAAATGTTTTAAAGCTATCTCACACTCTTTTCTGTGGAACAACCACCACCTCTGAAAATTTATATAGCTGGCTTTGATTAAATCTTCAGTTCTGCCCATTCTCTCAGTTTGCTACTTAACAAATGATCACGGGAACAGGTCTAAGGAACTGGAGTACATTAACACATATTGCTTATACCTATCCCTGAGATGCAAGCACGGTTTAATTTAAATCTTGTCTGACCAAAGCTTTGACTGAGAACCAATTTCCAATGGCAGGAGTCAGCAAAAGTATTGTGAAACAATATTAAAAGGTAAGGTGTCATGAAGCTTGCAGAGAACTCCCCCTTAACTTATTTATTGGTTTATTTAAAACTTTTATATGCCGTCCTCTATACATGGCATCTCAAGATGGCTTACAAATATTAAAATAAAAAATGAATAAATACAAATATAAAACAATATCAAGATGGCTTACAAATATTAAAATAAAAATGAATAAACAATACACATATAAAACATATACAGCCAATAAAATAAATTAAATCAAGAGTGACTGATTATTAAAAAAAATCCTATTCAACTTGCAAATAATTAAGGACTACAGAAAAAACTCTAAGATAATTTTTCAAATAGAACCACTAAAATTCAAAGCTAAGTACAGGGGTACAAGTCAAGTTTACATTTTTCCAAATGGAACACAGCAACCCAATTTAGTCAATCACTATTATGCCTCTCTCACAGGTGAAGAAGAGATATAAGAACTTGAGCAAAACATCCTATTTCAGCAGATTGCTGATATGAAACTTAATGGACAGTAGTTGAACCAAGTATTATCTGCTGGACTACCCTATAGTATGGGAGAACAAGCAATATCATAGGGCTTAACAATCCAAAACGGACCAAGGCTTCAGGTATTCAAGCTTTTTGGTCAACTTCATGCTGAGACCAGAATATTAATACTATAAATATTATAGAAGTACCCTCACATCCACTACCCATTATCTCCTCCTTTACAGTAATATATAGGGTTATAAAACAAATGTTTTGATTGCACTGGGAAGGGAGGGGGCTTACAGCATGATGCAATCCTGTCATTCATTTTGTATTATTAGGTAATTGGGTGCCTCTTCCAATGGGGCAGGATACAAAGCTAACAAAAACTTCACAGCAGAACAATTTGGCCTAGAGAACATAAAGCACTTTATATAACAGGGATACAGGCATTCCCAAAGTAATGTATCAATAATTATGGGCTAAGAATCCAATTAAAACCAATCCCAAAATGAACCACTCCTCAACAGCACTCACTCTAGAACAGTGGAGTGGCCAACCATTTCCAAATTCAAGTTCAGGCAACAATTCAATATGATGTTGCAGTATTTGAAGCAGCTACAATGAACAAACTGAAACCAGCACTACAAAGAACTGGGTTTGCACATAACACTAATCTTTGGTATAGGTTTCTGAATTCTGGACTGTTGTTGCATGCAGGCCCAGCCATGCTAGCAAGCTATGGTTTGTGAACTACAGAAGAGAATACATTACTTCTTGTTGGGTTGTGAACGTTTGACTTTTAACTATGGATTTTTGTTACATGTGAACCCGGAATTGTGCAATGTCCATGGGATGTTTTGCCAGGCTGCAGAGGCAGGAAGCATGAGTGATCAAAACATTACAGTGACATAAAAATATTTGGGTTAAGAGGGAAACAAACCAGGAATTGAGAAAATAAACTATGGTTTGCTTGATTCTCTACCAGACAAACCTTAGGTAGGCCAATTAACTACAGTGTTAACAGTGGATGAAATAACCTATGAATAAGCGTTGTGTAAGAATCCAATCTTAAGACTGCAAAATCCTAAATACAGTTATTAGGAAGCAATACCAGTAAGTACAGTGGGACTTACTTCCTAGTAAACAGCATAGATTTGGAACTGTAAAGCACCTTCTGAATGGACACTTTGTCAGTGGTCATAAAACTGACCAAAAAATGTTATTACAAACCTATAATACACAACAAAACTTTCCGCTCATCATATGTTTGAGTAAAAAATAGTAATCAAAAGACCGTATGAAAATCAACCCTGAAAGAAAGGATGATACACTAAGCCAACTGAGCCAGAATCACACTAGGTTGACAAGTGGATACAGGGGCTACACAAGGGAAAGAGTGTCTGGCTGGGCCAAACTTTAAATGAATCCAGTACCTGTATCCAGTTTGCTGTTTAACCAACTTGCACCACAGAATAAATCTAAGAGATACTTCTGGCATCTTTCCTTAAGAATTTTGTCTTGATATACGTCAATGAAATGTAAAAGCTGCATCTAAAATTTATTATTACTTGTTTGTTAGTCTTTCGAGATCCCTGTAGGGAAGACATTCAAGACATAAAAAAAAAGAAATACTGTACAATAGAGTTGCTTGAGGTTGAACCTAACAATATGTGAATAAACATCCGCTTATGTGACAAGACTTTCCCCTTGCTTTCTTCCCAATCAAGTACATCTCCCAAATCTGCTCTGGAGAGTTGCCTGATTTTCTGGAGCAGCTCTGGGGTATGTTTGAGGGATGCTGGGTTAGAACTAATTTTTAACTGTTAGCATTTATGATCATACAAGTAAAAACTTGAAAGAGGACATACAAAGCCTCCAGGTTCAATAGATATCTATACTATACAGTCAGTAAAAACAAGACCAGGAGCTGACTGTAGCTCAGATCATGAGCTTATTGTTGCAAAATTCAGGCATAAATTGAAGAAAGTAGGGAAAAGCACTAGGCCACTCAGGTATGACCTAAATCATATTCCTGATGAATATACAGTAGAGGTGACAAATAGATTTAAGGAATTAGATCTGATAGACAGAGTGCCTGAAGAACTATTGACAGAGGTTCGCAACATTGTACAAGAGGTAGCAACTAAAACCATCCCAAAGAAAAAGAAATGCAAGAAAGCAAAATGGCTGTCTGAGGAAGCTTTACAAATAGCTGAGGAAAGAAGGGAAGCGAAAGGCAAGGGAGAAAGAGAAAGATACACCCAATTGAATGCAGAATTCCAGAGAATAGCTAGAAGAGATAAGAATGCCTTCTTAAATGAACAGTGCAAAGAAATAGAAGAAAACAATAGAAAGGGAGGACCAGAGATCTCTTCAAGAAAATTGGAGATATGAAGGGAACATTTCATGCAAAGATGGGCATGATAAAAGACCAAAATGGCAGGGACCTAACAGAGACGATTAAGAAGAGGTGGCAAGATTACACAGAACTGTACAAGAAAGAACTTAAACTCCCTGATAACCATGAAAGCGTGGTCACTGACCTTGAGCCAGACATCCTGGAATGTGAAGTCAAATGGGCCTTAGGAAGTCTGAGCAACAACAAAGCTAGTGGAGGAGACAGCATTCCAGCTGAGTTATCAAAATCCTAAAAGACGATGCAGTAAAAGTGCTACACTCAATATGCCAGCAAATTTGGAAAACTCAACAGTGGCCACAGGATTGGAAAAGGTCAGTTTGCATTCCGATACCAAAGAAGGGCAATGCCAAAGAGTGTTCAAGCTACCGCACCATTGCACTAATTTCACATGCTAGCAAAGTTATGCTCAAAATCCTACAAGCTAGGCTCCAGCAGTATGTGGACTGAGAACTACCAGAAGTACAGGCAGGGTTTCGAAGAGGCAGAGGAACTAGAGATCAAATTGCCAACATACGCTGGATCATGGAGAAAGCTAGGGAGTTCCAGAAAAACATCTACTTCTGCTTCATAGACTTTGCTAAAGCCTTTGATTGTGTGGATCACAAGTTGTGGCAAGTTCTTAAAGAGATAGGAGTACCAGACCATCTTATTTGTCTCTTGAGAAACCTATATGTGGGACAAGAACCAACAGTGAGAACTGGACACAGAACCAATGATCG